ACTCTTTCATTCATAGATATCATTTCGTATGATATAAATATCAAATTAACAGAGGTGGCTGACACTAAAAAACACAGACAAACTATTTGATTCTAATTTGCAGTTCTGAAGAATTCGATCATCTTCCAAAAGTATGGGTGGTGAATATGGTCAGTCAGAAAATGTGGCTCCTTCCTTCGACTCCTACTACACACTCTATGTTACAACAACTGCTACCCGATTTGTTTTGGGTATTTTAACCTTTTGTTGTCAACTGATCATAAGCGTTGCAGCTGCCTTTGAACGTTGCATTCTATTTAAATCGAGTAACTTTCTAAAAATGTAACATACTCCAAGTGTTAGAACGTTTCATTCTAACATTTAACTCTATTCTAACTGACTTCCATAGACCAAAAATGCTAATCATACAATTCCGTAAACTAAATCTATGAAAAAATACGTATCATACAAAATTCATTCTGTTTGCTAAAATTTTGTTGGTTTATTGCTATAAATAAAAAAGATTTTTTTTTTGATAAAAAAAAGTTTTTTCAGTAGTTTGTATCATGCAAAATTAAATTTATGTGTGCATAACGTAATCCTAGATACACAAAAAAAAACAAATTTTCTTCGTTTCGCTGGGTTTTTTTTCAAAAACTTTCAAAAGGCCTATTTTGGGTTTGGCATATTTATGTCCACCTGATCAATGCCTGATTAAATTGAACTGCAAAATATAAAAGTTTTCATCTTCGAAAATTTGTTGCCAAAATTTTAATGTTTAATACTTTCATAAATATCAATTCTGTAGGACAATTTTAAGATAATACAGGCCACTTTCCATACATTATAAATGAAACACTGATTACGAACACAACCCAAAAAAATTGAAAAATTACTTTTTTTGAAAATTCAGTTTTTGGTTTCTGGATTAAATTCATTGAGAAATTAATTGTTTTTAAAAGTTTGAGAAAATACAATTGAGAAAATACTTTTTTCTAGTCATACAATTTTCATATATGAAAAATCACTTATCATAGATCTTTCATGCAATTTTCGGAACGGCATGAAAAGTGCATGACTAGCCTTTTTCCATACATGAAAAATGAATGACTGGCTTTTTTGGTCAATCTCAGCAGTTCATCAAGGTCCCACCATCTTTTGAATAAAAAAAGTAAACTGTTCTTAAAATCTCAAAGCTACGTTTCGACGACTCGTGAACGTTGCCAGGATTCCAAGCATTCCGTTCTATAAAGCTGGTTTGTTTAATCCTTTCTTTTGAATAGTTAACCGTAAAACAAATGGTTCCTCTTTTATTTCATTTGATAGATTATGTACTTGAAAAATTCTAAAACTTTATTCCAAAGAATTTGAGTAAAATGTTTTTCATGAGTTCTTTGCTGGTTCATATCATATCGTAACTGGGTGTCGAGTTCGCTCAAAATAAATGAGGCATCTGTTGTTTGAATAGGAGCTCTTAGCTTTTCAAAGACTATCACAAAAATTGTGGTCAAGTTTTTGCAGGTTAAACAATTTCAGTTAGAGATTTGAAAGTGACATTATCACAATCTAAGTTTAACTCATAAAATGATTTGTTGTTTGAGTTGAAGTCAATCATTGTTTCAAAAAAAAACTACTGCTGAATTTCATGAGTTAGTAATTAGCGAGGTTCTTACTCACGCTTCTAAACTGAAAACTGAAAACATTTCTATTTATATTTAGAAAAAGGGTTAATTTTTTTATTGATTTTTTCTGCATTTGCCAGATTAACATGAGCAAAAAAACAGTACTAGCTGGATTTACCAACTTTAAGGTTCCGACCAGTGAAAATAGCGAAGAACTGTGTATTCGGGTGTGTTAAATTTTTTCTTTTATTCCTCGCAAAATCAGCCACCAGAAGTAATCGAGGAAAAACCTATTTGTAATTTGAATTGAAGACAAATATTCTTTTAAAAAACTACTACCGAATGTCACGAGTTAGTAATTAAGGAGATTTCTACTCACGTTTCTAAACTGAAAACATTTCTATTTATATTTTAAAATAAATTAAAATTTTTTATTGATTTTTTTCTGCGTTTCCCATTTTAGCATGAGCCAATAACATTAGTAACTAGAATTATCAACTTTAAGTTTCTCATCAATGAAAATGGCTACGAACTTTGTATTCAGGGGTAGTATATTTTTTCTTCATTTCCAAGCAAAATCAGCCACTACAGATAGTCATCGGAAACGGTTGGGTGATTAACCAAATTGAAGCGTTTTCAATCGTGATTCAAACAACATTAAAAGAATCCTTATCAAGAAAAAGTGGTTTAAGTTTTTCATTTTAGTATTAAATTTAGAGCGAGTAAATCAAGCAAGCAGACTTACAACAGCTTGCTTATGATTAATTTCAGCTCGTAAGTTTTATTATTTTTTTTTTTAATTTTTCGTTTTTCTAATCATTTTCTGCAAAAGATTTTGTTCTATTCACTTATTTTTCTATGACTGCCCATTTCACCAAAATGTAGTTATAAGTCAGATTTTTTTTCACACCCTGCAGAAAAAACTACGTTAATTTGAGAAAATTTAAATTTTCATGGTTTTTTAAATTTTCGTAGTTTTTCGTACTTGCACAATAACAGTGTTAAATATATCAAAAGTGGATATCAAAAAAGCTCTGATTATCCGATATCTATCAAACAACTCAGTAATGCAAGTAAACTTACAAAAACAATACTTATGTAAGTTTAAGAACAACTCCTTGAAACTGATTGTAAAGGCTGAAAATTTTGTTTGATGTCACCGACAATGAGAACTTCAGAGTTTTGCTGTTGAGGCGATCATGATTTCTTTGTTCTTTCTTGCAACATAATTGCAGACTGTTTTATGATTATCCGCAACTCCAGAAAGGCAAAATGGTTTTTTCTATAATTATTTCTTATCTTTGCTGATATCTTTGCAATCGAGGATTGAGTGATTTGCATCCAGATGATGCAAAAAAATTTTCTTCTATTTTTCTTTCAATTTTTAGTTATATTTTTTCTTGCATAGTTTCAAGCTGTAAAACATTGGAATTGACTATTTTCAGAAGGATTTTTAACCCTCGATTGCTTCTTTTGTTTTGATTTATCTAACTGTACGAAACTATCAAGTGTTGGAATCACAAAAAAATGGCCAAAACTCAATTGCAAAATTTTAATTGCTTCTGGAGAAATAAACAAGTTCACCAAAATGGCGATGATTTCTTATATCAGCTTTGAAGATAGAGGAGTCGGGTTTTTTGTCGAAACTCTTTCATAAAAGCCTTAATAATTTTCTAGATAATTTATTTGCATTTGAGAACATTTCCTAATGTTTGTCAATTGAATCAGTTTTGAGGATTTCATTTTTATCAAATTGGTCATTACAATTAAAGTTTTTGCTGTTGAGTCAGTATTGAAGTCTTGAGGTTGTAGGTATTTTTTTTTCAATGTAATTGCTCCGAATATTTGAAAAATGGGGAGGAACTTTGTATTCGGGTGGGTCTTAGCTTTTTTTTCTACTTTTTTCTATTTATTTCTTTGTTTTCCTCGCAAAATCAGGTACCATGAAAAATCATTGAACTGGGTTGAGTGATATATCATATTAAAGTACTTTTAGTCTTATCATGATTTGAAAAAGTCTACTCAGTGTCGAGAAAAACCCGTTTGAATGTTTTGATTTTTGGCCTAATTTCGAGCTAAAAAGGTGAGCATGATTTACAATAGCTTAATTATTATTTAAGAGGGTTATCCAGCTGAAACTATGCTGAATCGTAGCTGAAACAAAGCTAAGATACAGACTCAAAATCTGTCAGCAAGTCACAGTTGGTCCTTTTGCACACTTTACTTTTCATTTAATTGATTTTTCCTTCTCAGGTACCACAAATAATGATTAGACTGGGTTGAGTGATGTATGATACTAAAGCCCTTTCAAATTTCCAAAAAAATTCCCAGTGTCGAAAAAAAACCGGTTTGAGTTTTTTGATTTTTCATCTTAGTTCGAGCGAATGAAGCAAGCGAGCAGACTTACAACAGCTGGATTATGCCTAATTTAAGACCTTAAAACTTAATTTTAAGCAAGTAAAACTAGTTTTTGGAGTTTTTATCATTTTGGGAACCAAAAATTTTTAAAAAGTCAATATTTTTCTTATAAGTTTTTTAGTTTTACCAGTCATTTTTCTACAAAAACTTTTGTCCAGTTTGCATATATTACTTTTACTGTCTAATATGCCTTAATTATATTTTTACGTCAGATCCTTTTTACTCACCAAGCAGAAAAATCTACACTATTTTGGAAAAGAAAACTTTCTAACTCGTAGTTTTCTAAAGACTATGGTCGGAACATTCTGTGCTACTTGCGCAGTAACCAGTTATCCTTGTTTTTAATTAAAAGTGTTTCAAATAATGGCTGTAGTTCTAATCTAGTTTTAAACAGATGCAGTTTACAAATTTTAAACAGATGTGATCAAAAATGATTAGAAACTGACCAAGTTGGTATCAAGTCTGTTCATATCACTTGGAAATCTTCTCCAGCTCAAGATTTTTCACCTCTGCTTAGGATTTCTTTTTCTATGTCCAGACCTTTTATCTATTCGGCATCTGTCAAAAACAAAAATCAGGTATGATTTTGAAAAAACCAGTAAATAATAATGTCGTTTGATAAAAACAGTGTGAGAGCGAAACGTTTTTATGGTATCTGATTTCCCGTGAAAAAAAATCTGGAATCAACACTTTTTTGTTGATTGACCAACCCCTCTTTCTTGATCTCATAGTCAAGTTATCCAAACGCTTTTAGATCTTTTTCGGTCGTTTTTGTACCTCAAGGCAATATAAAAGCCATCAAAATCATAAAAGCGGCATTCATTTCATTAAGAACAGGTGTAAATCTCCTGAATAAAATAGGCATTTACCGTTTTCATGCTGAGTCACCTAAAAAAACTGCCATAAAAATGCTAATTCTTCAACATTAACAAACCTATCCGTTATATCTGATCTATCAAACCATTTTTGCAACCACGCTAAGAAAAAATGGACCATTAATTTTGCATATTATATCTGGCATGTTAGTTTCAATTACCAAAATACATTTGTTACGCTTGGCAATAAACAATTTTTGTACCGTACACCTTGATCATAAATTACATAAACATCAACACAATTGTTTTAATTTCTCTCATCAGAATAATTTTTTTCGTTAACTTGGTGCAAATTTTAATTACAGCAACTGATTTGATAAAAAATCATGTTATTCTGCATTAGTTTACTATCAAGATGGCAAATGTGACTTTAAAAGCAAACTTCGATAACAACAGGTCGCAAGCGTCGACAAAAGAACCAGCAGACGATAACTTTGCTGGAGGGTCTTAAATTGAAAACCAGCTAAATAGCCAACAAGCCGTCGATAATTACAATTCTAAAAGTGGTTTTTTGTTACCAGCGGCTGAAGACGAATGTGAGAAAGTTCAAAATGAAGCTTATAAGGTGATATTTCAATTATTTTAAACCCTGGATCACCGCCTATCCCCCACTCCTCCCTTACCCAAAAATTATCAGCTGCCCTAAAAATTTAGCAGCAAAAATCTATCACAGTTGCTCTCAAAATTTCAAGCGTATCCATTCTCTAAGTTATAAAAAAAACGTTTTTTTTTTTAAATTAATTTTTCTCTATATTGTAAACAGGGTGGAATTATAAAAAACGGTTCTGAGCATGTTGATCATTTAGCATTTGTCTGTATGCTAATTCTGAGTAGATCACACTAAAAATTCTCTTTTGATGATAAATATACTTGCCTCCAGTTTTACGACATGATAGTTCGTTTTATTTAAAATTTGAGCAAAAATATAGAGCATTCAATGTTCTATTTGTTTCTGGCTTTTTTGTTTCAATTTTCAATTTTACATTACAGCGATTACAGAAGATTAAATTTTTTTACTTATGATTTAAGCGATTTTTGAATGGAATTAAATTGCTAATCCTCAATGCATTTTGGTTGAACATTCGTTTTATCATGTATAATCAAAATAGATTTTTTGAATGTGTTTTAGCAATGGATATCGCCCGTAAGTCTGTCATGTTATTTACAACGTTCAAATTGGAAAATTTTACCTTTGGCGCCCATTTTGTTAAAAACCTCTAATTTAGATGCCCCATCATTTTCATTGTCCTCAAAATAAATTATATTCCCATTCGTTCTTATTCCTGACTACTTATTCTTGTCATTTTGCAAGTTTTTACTGTGTTTAGGGCCACGTTAAAACAAATGACCTCGACAACATAGCATGCAAAATGTATAGCCAATCAAATGGTAGAGGTCACCAAAGGGTGGTCAAATCCGAGTCACCCTTGACCTCTGGTCAGTACAGAGTGTCCACACAGTCTGTTCTGAAGGGCAAGCCTCAGATGGGAGCATACAGGAATATGGGCACTCCTCTCAGCTTCATTTACTACAAGTTGGCTTAAATAACAAAAAATTTTAAGTTAAAATTTGATATTACAAAAAAACAACAAAATTTTTTTTTTAGTTTTTGAAACAGTCCAAATGGACATAACCATTGAATTAATGACCCAATTTTTATTGATTTTAATGAAGACATCCCGTAAATTGGTTTCCAGCTGAAAAAAACTTATATGAGCTCTTTTCCTTTTTGCTCAGAGATAAAGCAGAGCAGTACTATTCGACCACAGATGGATTCAAAATATTGCAACGACCCAAATCAGCCGGAGCCAATTTGACATCGCGAGGTTATTTGAGAAACTACTACGTCCATGAAAACAACAATCATAACAAGAACATAGCAGGTAATTTGAAACGAAAAATTCGATCATAAGCATAAGTGTACCAAAGCAACGGAAATAACATGGAGCACCTCTTGAAATCAATTGATCAATCAAAGCCCAATTTGAAACAATTGTGGCCATTTTCTGTGCTTCAAAGATCATCATTGTATTATTTCTAAGACTAAAAAAAGTAAACCAGAAAGAAAAAAATCAGTATCGAGAAAATCCAAAACCTAGTTTTTTTAGTAGTCGGGTCCGAGATCTCGGGTGCCTGTCAAGAACATGTCCACCGACTACTCTGCAGTGAGAGTCGTCTCTTCACCTCAAGGCCCCCTTCCCCCGTCGCCTCTCTCGTGTACTCAATGATCAAAGAACAACAAACTGACGACCCAAACTCACCCTCGGATGACAATCACATACTAGAAGGGAGGGGAAATGTTGACCACATTGTGATCAACTGTGAGGCTGGAAATGATGACGATTGTGGTGATCAGGAGCTGAATGGAGTAACCAAAGGAGACGAAGGAGAATCAAGGCCTAAAAGACACCTTGAGATGTTCATACCACAGGCTAGTGAACGAATATTATCTCTGAGAAGCGATATGTGATTCATAGAGTTTTCTCCGAATTTAGAAAGATTTCACCATATTACGAGGCTGAACTGTTGATTGTGGGAATTTGTAAGCGGGTTCCACAACAAGGACGCTTTATTTGTTCCAGCACTGGAGTTTCATCGATAAAAATTGATTTTTAGTATCAAAATTATTGGAAAACCTAATCGATTATTGACGCCAGCTTTAAAACTTAAATCCACTTTTTTTTTCTTTTTTATGGATTATAATCGATTTTTTTTCATGACAAAATAATCAACTATAATCCATATTTTTTCCATCACCATCGTTTTTTTCTCAACACAAAATCATTAAAAACAATTTTTTTTTCTGCAGAAATGTTGTTTACTCAGCTTGCTGCACTTTTTCTGCAAAAAACTAAGACGAATCGAAGATAAAATTTGAACTAAATTTTAAACAACATGAAATAAAAAAAACGAAATCATGTTGGACTTCTGTTTACCATACCCCCCCCCCCCCCCCCACACACACACACACACTCACACACACCCAAGCCCCCTCCCATTTTACAGTTTCATACCCCCCAAGTTTTCTAAGCGTTAAACGCGGGGGGCTATTTAAACGTATACTCCACCTCTCCCCCCTCCCAAATTTTCTTTTACATTGAACGGAAGAGGGTATTCAACCTTTTAACCACCCCCCCCCCCCCCCCCCATTTAACCCTTCCCCCTATTATTTTACACTCCGGTGTAAACTGGGGTGGTGATGGGGGGAGTACTGGAGAGGGAGGATCTATTGGGGAATTGGGGTTGGGGGCACTGGGGAGAGGTGAAACTGAAGGGGTAAATTGAAGGGGTAAACTAAAGGGGTAAATAGAAGAGTTAGGGGAGTTTACGTTGAGTCAACTACCCTCTACCAGTTCAACAATTCTTCTCCGCTTTCAACCTAAAAATATTCATCGTTCAACCATTTTCTACCATTAACCACCCCCCTCCCCCTCCCCTTACTTGAACATGAAGGGGGCCGTGGTCAAATGGCGATAATAAAAGTGGGTGAATGGCGATTAATTACCATGGCGACGGTAAAAACAATTAGAATAAAAAGTTAAACTGCCAAAGTGAAAAATAGAGAAAAAATTAAAATTAACTCTTTTATTTGAAGAGGAAAAAAATTTTAAGAGTAAAAAAAATGTAAAACGTAGCAACTGCACTAAACAGTAAGACAGATAACTTTGAAGAATTTCTGAACCAATCCCGTTATAATTGATTATAATCAATTAAAGTGGACTTAATTGTAAAAAAAAAAGCAATGGGATTATGAGCCATTTTAAATCGATTATAAATGATCATATTTGAACTTTTCGAGACTGTCAACTGAAAATCCAATCGATTGATTTATGAATTTCCAGTTTGGATTCTTCTTTTTTTTTCGTTTTCGTTGATCGTTCCAACAAAAGTTCAAAGACTTTCTTTGGATTCCAGAGATCTGCCTACACCAAATTGTGCGCCTGTCCAGTGCACAGTGTGACATCGTAATGACAACGCTCAAGTTGTTGGTTATAGAGAGCACAAAGAAATCTCAAAGTTTTAAAATTGCTGAAAAAATTGTTTGGATAAAAATTTAAACAGGAAACAGTTGAAAACTGATTTTAAAAGAACGCGGCTAAACGTTCAGATAGAACCGCAAATTTTCAACATGGATAGGACCGGTGATTTTTGCTGAATTTTTTGTGATTTAATCGATATATTTAATTGGTTTTTTTTTCAGGTTGAGACGGAACAAGATGCTGAAGAATCTGCAGAGAAAAAATCAACTCAGCCCCGCAACTTGGGGGGAAATGACAAAAATTTTGTCGCAGATACTTACGACAGTGAAGAACTGGACTACCAGAACATCGACTGGTAAATTTATTCTTCCTGATTGTCTAATTCAATAGCCTGCGAAGATAAGAGACAGTCTCACATCAACGAAGACGAAGCATGAGGCACCAAAAAAAACTAGCTTGTGTTTTAGTTCTTTTTAAGTAAAACTAGCTTGACTTCTGGGCCACTTTCTTTGTTTTTCTCGAAGAAAACTTTGCATATGCTTTGATTCAAAGAGAAACTGCAAATGCCTTGATGTATGATGGTTCAGAGAGAATACAAAAATTGTTAAAAATGAATTTAATAAGTTTTGATTAAAAAATCCCAGCCAAATCACTAATAATTACTAATGATAAACCTTTAGAGGTTTGTATTCGGTGAATTGGCTATTTGCTTGGCTTTTCAATCAAAATACTGGGAGAAAAAGTCCCTTAAAAAATTTTAAGGGACTTTTAGTATTTGGTACTCCTATACGGGTAGTATTCTTAATTCTCAATTACATGTCAAGTCAGTCACCTGCTTTTTAATGGCTGTTTGGTCGCAAAAAAGATTATCAACTGATCAAAGCAGAGTTGATAAAAGAGATTAAACTGGATACTGTTTTATCAGTTTTTTTTCCACCTTGATTGTTTCAGCTGCTTTGAACGGCTTTCTTGGGGTTTTGCTGTCTCAGATTTTTTTCCAGATTCTTAAAAAGCTGCGTTTGCATGAAATATTTTATAATGATTGATGAGCCGCTCGGCGATATAAACCTTTCAAATCAAAAACCATCTGATTTATTTTTTGTGAGCGTGAAGAAAGGCGGTTCCACATACATTAATTTTATTGGTGTTCACTTTGTTCGAATGCCCTTTTTTGTTTTATTGACAACGCCACACTGATTATATTTTCAAATTAGCAATCGAGTTCCTTTTATTATTCAATATCTAACCGTCTATTCCAGGGAAAACGCTGAGCCGGTCATAGATCCAGAATGCATTCACCTGGAAGCGCTTTTAAGTCCTTTAAACATGTCGCCTTCGCTAAGAGAAGTCACTAACGCCTACGCTCAAAACCTATTCACACGACAAACCGCGCCAAGCATACCAACTGAGAAATACTTTCCTTATAAGGCATACAGTAAACCAGGTTATGGAATTAGGGCATACGAGAATGTAAAGCCAGGGTACTCATCGGTTATTGACCAATCAAAACACGCGAAGCCGCCGAGACCAGACTCGAAACAAATTGCAGCCGGGATGAAAAGCACAAATAACAATGAATCAGATCGAAAATGTTCCAATGGTAAGTTCCTTTTAATGGTTAAACTAGGGGCGGATCTAGGATTTTTTTCGAAAGGGGCGAATTTTCGATAAAATCGAAAACGGTCAACTTTTTTTTAGGTCCACCAAATTGATTTTGTGAGCGCTCCCAGAACACTACAAAGACCCGACAATTTTTTCAGCACCGCAGGAAAATTTGTTGAAAAAAAAACACGTCAAAAATGCCGTTTATGGCGCCAAAGGCGCTTTAAGAAAGTCTGTGTAGCCGTAATTGGATGTCATAAGAAAATACCATAGGGAGGACCCTTTGGTTGGTGAGGTGTCGAAACCCTGCGAGATAAAGAGACGACCGCAACGTTTCTGTTTCTGTTCAAGAAGTTAGTTTTGTGGTGAAAGTTTTTTTACAGGGATCAAGTCCATCCAATCCAAGATAGAAACAGTTTGTTATATCGTTTCGTGGGTCTAAGAAACAACAACGTTTTTTCATCAAGTCTAACGATTAAGTTTTACAGCGATTATTAAATGAAAAACTAACATTGTATTCTTAAATTAATTTTGGTTGAAAATTTTTCTAATTTTTATAGGAAAAGATTCAAGCAAAAAACCCGGAGACTTAAGGTCAGTGTCTGCCCTGTCAATAGCCAGTTTGACCTTTTTCGATGACCTTAACCCTGAAAGCGACACACATCATGACCTTCAAAATAGCAACAGATCCTCCTATTCAAACTTGGGCCACGTCTCCAGAGCGAAAAGCGCAAATGTACCATCAAGTAATTCCAAGAAAAACGGAGTTATCAGAAAACAAGCGAAACTGCGTGGAATAACCGGTGTTGAAATCAAAACTCGAACACATGAACCGGAAACGAAATCTTACACTTACCATAAAGAGTTCACGCCCGCTGAAAGTACGCCTAAAAAACTAACAACAATAACATTTGGGTCAAAGGATACAACACTGGAAAACGGCTATATTTTACATAGCGCATCAAACAGAGGTCAAGAAGCTAACTCTGAAGGTCAAACTAACGGAAAGCCAAGACCTAGAACAGCTCATCCGAGCATTTCAAGTACAATGCACACTGAAAATGTCGATCAGTTAACTCGGAAAGTTGAAAGTTGGTACTCACATAAGTTCGCAAATAGTTCTGTTAAGGACTATAGTCAGAAAGCAAAGTTTCCAAATCGAACTGCACAAAATGGAAATTTACGGGCTCGGGTAAAAAGCGCACCCTTGACGCCGACAAACAGAACTGTGGTGAAAGTGCAATACGAGCCAGTAAGTTTTGATTTTCAATAAGTTTTTGAAAATAGTAAATTTGGAAATAAAAAAGTCCTTATAATTTTTCTTTTGAATCGTAATTTGTTTCTGCAAAAACCATCAGAAACTTATGCTTTCTTTAAAAACTTAAGTTTAACCGAAGATTATTATTTAGCTGAGTATTTCAGGTAAATTTGTTCAATTTATTTCAATTCAAAAATCTTATTAAATTTTCAAAATGGAATCAATAAATTTAACATTAACTCGAATCACTATGAGTTTTTCATCAATAATGTTATTATGACTAACTTTTGTCTTAAAAATGCAACATCCAAAATGGTAATCTGAACGGTTTTGATTTCAAACTGTAATTGTCCTGCGATCAATGAAATATTTACAATTTTTTCTCGACACAAAATTTTTTAACTCGTGATGCTTTCTAGGATACCGAGCTAGGATCGCTGGTCCTTATTTCTAAGAAAAACGAGCCCGAAAAGACATCTTCAAACTCCAAATCGAATAACAGTCGACCCAATTCATCCAAATCTAATCGATCAAATGTAGCCCAGATGATCACCCCTAGACCCGTATTCAAACCTCTTTCCTCTGCCACTGATCGATCGAGAACACACCTCGTGCAAGCTGCCAATCATCAAATTTTGGTGGCGCCAAAAGCTGCCGTAGATCAGGTACGTAGAGCAGGGCGAACCAACCCTACATATACCAGATGTACAAAAATAATGCCCAAAAGTTATGTTAGCCAACCAAAATTCAGTATTAAGAAAGGATAGCCGGTTGCTGAGCAAGTAGCACAAAAGTTCAGACCATATTCTTAAAAAACCTACAAAAATTACTTCTTTTTTCACTTTATTTTCTTATTTATTTGTGCGTGGTGCAATAAAAAAATCTGAATGAGAGCCTAGAAGTTAATAATATCCGACAATCAAACTAAAATAGGCTTTTCAATTTTTTTCCCTTTTTGCAGAAGGTTTTTTTTCAATTTTAAGGGCGCTCAAAAACTCAAAAACTTGGATTAACTGGAGTACAAACAAGTTTTTAGGGTTTGATCAAAAGTTTTACGGATTATGTTTTTAAAATGAGCCTGGTCGCTTGCTTTAATTGTTCGAAATTGAACCAAAATTCAAATACTGTCAACCAATTTTCATCAAAACTGGATCAAATTTTAAAAATTATTTATGTCGTCCGAAACCCGGCTGAAAAAGTTTTCATATGATATATCACTCAACCCATTCCAATGAATTTTTGTGGTACCTGATTTGCGTGCAAAACAAGAAAAAAAAACAAAACTAAAATAAACCCGATTACAAAGTTTTTCCTATTTTTCAATGGTCGGAACAATAATCTAAAAGAAACTAACAACGAGATCGGTCAAATTGGACTGTTTAAAAGAGGTCGATTTGCTGCATGTTTTTGCGCATTGAATCTTTTTGTACTCACCCTCACTCATCTGTTTTACTAATGAGGCAAGTTTTTTTTTTACTGAAAGCTAGGTTGTAAGAACTGAGTTTTGGATGCGGTTATAGGAGCTGAAATTCGTGGCTAGTTTCATTACTTTGATTCCATTATTTTTGTCTTATTACCTGGCTTGACCGGGGGAGTACAACAGTAGCGAGAATCAAAATCTTGTTCAACAATGCCGAAAACTATTTTGAATACTTTTAATTATCACAAATCACTGACAAGTGTTTGTATTCATTGGTAGAAAAATAAAAAGACAAAAATAACCATTTAAATGATGCCACTTGCTAAACAAACAAAAATTCACCAAGCGCGGTCTCAAAAGTTTTCTAAGCAAACGAAGAATTTCGCAAAATTGAGAAACTTTCCTCTCAGTTTTGCTTTAGAACAAAACAGTATTTTACCAGAATTGCCAACAATTCACAAACAGAACTCTTTTTTTTTTCCAAATTTCATCAGCTTCCTGGCTTTGTTGTACAATTTTTCAGTTTCGGCACTGTTGTACTTTGGAACTGTTGAACGTGCCCGCCTGCCCAAATTCATCTAAGTTTTAAAACATTTTGGGATGAAATTTTCGTGATTGATGAAGTTTTTTGTCTGCTTATTTTTACGACAAAGAATATAATTTTTACTTTTTGCCATGACAAAAAGTGTTCATAAGTCGCCTGTAGATGAAAAATTAGATCAATTTTTGCTGTATTTGAAAATGTGACATCCAATCAAAAAATTCTGTTCTAAAAGTTTGAACAGAGGAATCCGACTTTGCGCAAATCAGATTGAATTACTGATTTCATTTCTAAAAATAAATAGTGCTGCGATTGAAATAAAAGAAATCAAACAACTAAATTTTGAATTTCAAACTCGTTACTCCGAAATTAGGCCAATTGTAAAAAAAATGACGAAAAAAAATTTCTTTGTAATTTTCAAAAATCTTGTTTCAAACATCATTCTCTCCAAAATTTGTTTTGAAATTTTTTAAAGAAATTTCAGACCCGAATTTTTTGCACTAAAAACGGGTCGTTTTGAATTGAGTCGTTTTATTTCAAAGTTCTAAAAAAACCATGGCCATTTTTTGAATATTCTAGTCAAATTAATATCTTTATTTGGCCACACAAATAGATGCCTTCTATTGGCCACAAAAATTGATACCTTCCTTTGGCCACAAAATGATACTTTCAGTTGGCCACTCAAAATGATACTTTCATTTATCTACACAAATTTTAAACTGGAGAAATGTCAGAGGATTACTTTTGAATACAAAATCTTCCAAATGGCTTCCAAATTAAAAATTGGCAGTTTATGTAACAAACTACCTAATTTGGCCATCAACTTATACAAAATGAATTCCATCTAAGTTTTAGCATTTGATTTTTTTGATAAAACATGAAATTTATTTAAGTTTAATTAGTTCAAAGCTTGATTTGCTATTTGTTGCGTACTGAATCAACTCAAAAGAAATAGTTCTATCAAAGAAGACCTTCTTTCAGGGAAAATGTTTAGGCCTACTTAAGCAAAATAATTTGATGAAAGTTAATAAAATTTAGAGTTTTATTTTTTCTTGTCAAAAATTAACTCAATTTGATGAAATTTTGAAGTTTTGTTTGTTTTTCTGCTTAAACGAATCAACAGTGTACAAGCCCAGCTGAGGTCAACTTGCAGCAGATTTATGGCTTTTAAGTTATTCCTAGAACAAAGAGCATGCAGCAAAGCTAAAGAAATAACGAAAATGAAAGCAGCAAAAAAGTTCAATAAGAGCAACCATGAGCTTTTCTCAAAAGTGTAACGGCAAAATCTTTGTCGTTGGTGTATTGCGTTGGCATCCTCCTGCCTTATCCTTAGTGCTTGATTTGTGTTTTATTTTTCTGTGACAAATTTCGGCATGATTTTTATTCCACCGTCAAATAATGGTTTATTCGAATATTTAGTGCGAAATCAATCTACAAACCTTAGATGTGTTTCCATTGAGTCAAGTAACATATCTTATAAAAAAATTTGGTTTGATTTTAATGAAGAAGTTGCATACTAAAGCGAATTATCTGATTCTAAAATCAAATATATATGTTTTAAGCTATCATCACAATTTTTTTATTTAGAAATGGTTCTTGAATTCAATGGTGTTTCGTTTAAACTGTTTTTTACTCTTTTCCCTTCATAAAAAGAGTCCTGTTTCCGACATCGAGAAAACATTATGGACAAAAATTATAGAAGAGTTCATGTTTCGTAAAAATAGCTCATTCCAATGCTCAAATTAAAACGTCATAAAACCTTTGATCCAAGGCTTTGTTAAAATTAATTGGGGTTTTACTATTATTTTGCTGTGACCACGTCAGGTAACGAGTGTAGGTACTATTGCCCAGAGTTTTTTTTCTCCAATATCCCTCAAAAAAACTTTCGTCGCGTTTCTGTGGTTCACCCTTTGAATCTTTTTAGGTTAACTTTCTCATTCCAATACCAAAACAACAACTTCGATGTCCATAAAGTTGGTTTTCAAAACAAGACTTGCTCCAATAATATGACATCTTTTCTAATTGGTTCTTAAAAGTGACTGGTTTCTACAAAGTGAAGTTTTTTGTTTCGATTTATCGAATGTTTTGCTCGACATTTTCAGTTGAAAACAATTTGCTCTAATTGCATTTTCTAATTTATAATTTTTATTTGACTTTCTTTGCTAAAGTTCGATAAAAAATATTAATCCGTAAAACAAAAATTGCATAAAATTCACTTAAAATTACTTTTTCCTACCGCGGAGGAGTTTCGATTTCAAAACCTTGAAGAGTTTTCCCAAGTTGTTTTTAGTTTGCGACAAGAAAACTTTCTGAATTGTTTGCCGCTGAATGCAACACTCTGATGAGATCTTTTTGGAGACGAGTGATATCAACTTTTTTTTATACTGCGCTTGAACTATAATCCGTTCTTTTTGATCTAATTGATCATGTTTCTACTTCTGTTTTGACTTCTGTTTCGGTTTTTTCGAATATAATCGAGTATGTCCATTCTTTGCGCTCGACTGATAAAAACTTCTCGACTGCGGGTTTTCTCGATTGCTCTGCCCTATTAATATGTACTTTAGATCAAAATTCATTGATGCATTAACTGGACACTCTAAGTGATAATATATTTTAGGCCTGGATTTTAAATTGTTCCGAAGCGGAAGTGAATTTTTTCCAGTCTTGATGTGTTTACGTGCAGTTTTGAGTGTGACAGGTTGTCAAGGCATAAAAAATTGCTACAAAATTTTGCGTAAATTTCGTAAAAATGGTGTTGAATTTTTTAAATCATTGCGGAGGCCAAATTTGCACTGGATAGGCACACAATTTTGAGTGTGTATTTTCCTGGATTCCAGAGACAAGTTCTTAAACATGGTAAAATTTTGTAGGAACGATCAAAGGAAATGAAAAAACGAAAAAAAAAAGAAAAGGAGCGTATCTGTTACGGAATCCGCTGATGTACACTTACTTTTCTGAGAACTCAGAGCACCTCATATTGCATATTGAAAGAAAAAAATTGGCAATTTCTTTTGTTAGGATAGGTTTGAGGGCTTATAGCGTTTTATAGCATTAGCTCGGAAAATCAGTTTGACCGGCCCTCCTCAAAAAACGAATGCCCAAGCCACCAGTCTGAACTTTTGAATTTCTAACGGAATAATTTTTTCATTTAGGAGAGCAAAAATCAATAACTCGACAAAAGAGATATTTTCATGCTTCATCAGGGAACTTATCGACATAAAAACTTTAAATAGATTTTACTTTGTACATGCATTAGTTACAAGCGGTCAAAAATATAGTAGATTTTCACAGTAAATTGTACTAAAGTGTACTGGTAAAGATGTCATTTTAAGCTACTAGAAAAAAACATCAGTTTGACAAAGGTCTTTTTACTAAAGACTGATGATTTTTCAAGTAGTGTGAAATTATATCTATACCAGTACACTTTAGTACAATTTACTGCAAAAATGTACTTTTTGATTGAAAGATTATATTACATCTTGTTTTAGTCCACAATGACACGTTGACCGGATAGAAGATCAAGACAAGGACACGGAATTTTGCCCATTTAAATTTTTTATCGCTGCCTTGTGCTTTATATTTTTATTTTAAATCAATAGTAGAAGAAAGTTTTAGTTGAAATTTGTTTTTAATTCTTGAGCAATGTTTTTAAGTCCTTTAAGTCCTTTATTGTTTTTAAGTCCTTTATTGAGCAATTGAACTAAATAAGGCTACTGGAAAAAGATTGGGCTATAACTGGTTCATAAAAACAATTTCTCTTTTAATAGAACAATTGAAAAATGGCAAATTTAAGCCGCAAATTTTCTTTTGAATCATACCTAATTTAAATAACCTTTCAAACCTAGGTGATGAATTTAAGCCAGAGGTAGCTTTCTCATAGAGTAATTTCAGATAAGATTTACCGTCTGTTTGTCACGCAACCTTATTTTCGGCCGAATAGATTCGTGCAACTTCTTTGTCTAATACCAATCTTCATCTTACTCTTATATCTCCTAGTCTTAGTCTCAATAGATCTAGTGTATACTTGTTTCTGCGAGTTAGTCTTGGAGCTTGTCCAAAAGAAGAACAATTGTAGTGTAAGATTTATTTATATTGTTCTTGTGCTGAAACTACAAGTAGTTTCAGAACTTACAAATAATTGTAAGTGTTAGTGATGGAATATGATTGGTTAGTTAGAAATGTTTTATAGGAATAGTTTTATCAATAACATAATTGGTGTATAAACATTAGTTCAGAACTAGTTCCAGTTATGTTTAGAACTAATAAATCAATCAGGCTGCTCGTATCAGGGCAAGGCGCCTTTAAATAATTTTAGGGTCCTTCAGGCAAAAATGGAAATCTCGAAATAGTACAAAGGGGGGGCTTTGGGTCGGGGGACCCTTTGAGTCAGATCTACTGAAAGGGAGGCGGACGCCTCCTTCCCCCCTCCCCAGGGATTTGACCCAAAGACCCCCTTGGTACAATTTTGAGATTTCCATTTTTGGCTGAAGGACCCTTAAAAAGCTGAAAAGCGCATTAGGCGCCAATATATACTAAGTTTGAGGGGAGAGCGCGCCCGAAAAAAGCGATTTTTTGGTCAAAATTTTCATAAAGTGCCTAAAAACGCCTTTTTTGGCCCGCTTTTTAATAATTTCGGCTGCGGCGCAGAAAAATTGGCCAAAACAGGTTCTTTTTAGTGCATTGGGAGAGTTTGAAAGCTCAATTTGAACAATCTAAAAAAAGGTCGACAAAGTTTCCCCCCTCGAGAAAATCCTAGGTGCGCCCCTGCCTGGTCTCGAATAGTTTTTCATGAATGAAACTTTTGACAAACTGAACTTAAGACTGATGATATCAAACTATAAGTGTTTTTTTTTGAAGCGTAAATAGAACTTTTAAAGCTTAATTCCTTGCTTCAATTCAGTCTATAGTAGGAACCATTTAGTAGTGCGTAATAATTTGACAAGCATAAAAAATCTCAATAAAGCAAATTAGCATCAAAGTATCAAATGCGCATCTCAGGTAGACTCTTTTCAAAGTGACCCTAAAGAGAGGTTAGTGTAGTGGTTAGCGCGCCACGTGTAGCTTACAGAGCTTCAGATATCAATCACACAAGTGGGAAAACTTTTTTTTAGAAAAAATCGGTTTCAGCAAAGTACCATCCTTTAATTTCAATACCCTTTTTCTTCGGAAATCCAAACAATAACGACTGAAAACTACTGATTTGGCTTCAATCTACATTATTTTGCGCAAAAACTATCAAAGATGCTATTTCTAGAGAAAATCTATCGCAATTTCATAGCAATTCAATTCTGTAGAAAAAATAACTAAAAACGAACGGGTTTTAAATCTTACATGTTTTAGGACGAAAAACATAAATTGCAAAACAAAATCTGTACTTTAATAAAAAGACGACTATTGCTTCGACTAAAAAATACCTTGTGCTGAGCTGAAGTTCGGTTTCATTTCAGCCTCTTTTTTGTTATAGATTAACATATATACTGACATTTCAAAAATTTATTTTTACGATAACCATGATTTCAATATATCATTAAAACTATTAATATAGTTTATTATTTTTGATATTACCATCACTCTGATTCTGTTTAATATTATGATTAAAATTACTATGATGAACAATGTTAATATTTTTAATCATTTAATTTAAGGCTTTTTTTACAAGATTCTGATCGTTGCGAAAAGCCAAAACAGACAGTTTTGAGTTGAAACTAAGTTTTGCTTCATAGACTGCTGGTCCTGACGTTCGATTTACCCATTTTTGAATCAACAAGTTAAAAACGTTCAGGAAACAGAAAATTTGAACACTCAAAATTCATTCTGTAATCCGTTTTTTTTTTGGAAATGGATCAGTTTTTTATGACAATTTTAACGAGGTAGAGGCATTGAGGCATAGGTAAAATTCAAGAAATAAACAAAATATGACCAGTTTGAAAAGTGTCTACTCATCAGCTCGCAAATCTGACTCAATTCAGGCTTCTAAAATTTGAAAAACCTCAATAAATGTTCCGTGAGAGAGTTTTAATGACTGCATACTTAAACAAATTATTTTACAATAATCCAGTGTTAGTTTTTTTCCGACCGCGCCACTGAAAGTAACCGGAAACAATTATGGACTAGCTCTTGTTTTTTTCGCTTAATTTTGACGACGTCAAAAAAATCTCGCAGCTAGTTGTATAGTATTAAAGCTTTTTCAGCCATGCTTCCCATTTCAAAATAAATTTTCGAATTTTGTCTCACTTTCGAAAAAAATGGTCGTCAAAATTCTGATTCCTGACAAAAATTTAAAAAATATATATGAGAGAGGCTGCGACACCCCCACTAAAACTTTATTTTTTTCTACTACCTAACTTTTTTCCCTCTTACCCTCATTCTTGCAGTTTTATAAAAATAATTCAGTTACCTTTTTTCTAAAAAATAACAGGATTTTAAAGAAAAGGGGCAAAAAATTAGAGCCAACAATTTGAAAAAACTTAAGAAACACTAAAAATTAAAAACTTTCAATACTAATTGTTCATTTTTATTGAATCTGTAACCAGGTTTTAAGTAAAAGGCTATCAATAACGCAAATTGATTACATTTTGAAAGAAGATATGAGTTGGGGATATTTTTCACTATCATTCTATCTGACAGATTCTTTTTTCCTTAATAACTTACCCGAAAGAATACAACAAAGTCTGGTTGCAAAAGAATTTATTCAAATGCAACCATACTATGAAGATCATTGCAATTATTTCAAAATCAACCAATTTTTTGAATGAGCTAATGCATTCGCTCTGCAATCCGGATCGAGGTCCAAAACTCATATCGCAACCGTCACGACTCAAAATATTTAAATCGCAAGTTTTCCCAACCCAAGAATTTCGGTGCGACTTTGCATACCCAAAAAGGCATGTCGCAACTTAAGCATTAAATATACTTTGCGTTAAGAAGAAACTTTTTGCATCTCAGCAAAAGCAAAAAAATCGCCGCGCATCCGAAATTTTGCGCCATCCAAAAGAGATATATGTCGCAAGATTCAGCTGCAGATAGCAATCTAGTTGACTCGCAAATCATTTTAAAATTTGTGTGGCAATTTTGTTTTTTTTTGCCAAGATAACATTTAATGAAGCATCGCAATTTTTTTTTAGTAAAACTAGGTTTTTCGCTGTCTGAACAACCAAATTTTTATCTAACAAACGTTATTTGCTTGCCTTAATTGCTCGAAAAAAAACTAAAAATAAATTTTGAGCCAATGTTTGCAACACTGAGTAAACTTTTCGAAAATCACGACTTGAAAGGACAACGAATGATATATCACTCGACCATCTTCGGAAAATATTGTAGCTGAAGTTAATAATCATAATTTCCAACTACGCGAGTTTGACAAAATTTAAGCTTCAAATTTCAAAGTCACAGTAGATATTTCTCAGTTGAAACAATTTTAATGATTTATCGCGTTCTATCATTCGTCTTGGTTGAAAATGTAGACGGAAAGAAAGAGATGGCTAACAAAGTGATAGCAATAAAGTTGATGCTTCTGTAATGGTTCTATAGCAATAGAGGTTTTCTAACCAATATATTTGCTCTGATTTTTTTCAACTGCGAACAACTCACTTTTTAGTAAAAACACGGACAGAAAAAAAAGTTTTCAGGTTTCTTTAGATTTGACAAAAAATTCGTAAAATTTCAAGGCAAAAGCAATTTGACAAATTGCCAAAAACAAATTTATGTTTAGAATTTCTGTTAGCCTTTTTTGTTTCAATTTTTTTCTCAAATGGCGAGCAATTAATCAAAAATGTTTGTGGCTGATCACCTAAAAAGTCCCTGTTTGTTGTTTTTCAGACATTTCGGCAACATTTTTATAGCAATAATCCAATGTTTCAAATACAAGTTTAAGTAGCGGATTATTTTGAACACTGATATAAAACGAAACAAGACTGCTCGTATCACGGCGAAACCCTGAATGTTCCGACTGCCTTTTAAGGTTTATGGAGCAGTAATAACATAAATATCATTAACAAGTTAAAGTTAAAAAAAAATTTTTAAATTAATTTTTTCTTTATGAAAATCATCGCCCCACACGCCATATAACCTATAAAAGAATAAATTTTGCTCCTTGTAACAAATCAGTTATGGCAAATAAGTTTCTTTCAGCCAATTTGGAACGAATTCTTTCACGGATTAAATCTCCGCTTGCGCGTTAATAGCGCGAAACATATCGCGCGTTTATTGTCCCAAATTGGCCAAAATGGCGCTCTTTAAACCCTCGTAACCTTACAAAGAATGTAACAAAAAAAATACCCAGTTGAAATAACTTTTCAAATTTAAGCTCAGGACAACAATAATTTTCATAATGATTTAAAAAATTTTGTCAAAAATGGCCTGTTTAAAAGTCGAATTTTGTCTAAAGAAAAAAAACCACCCTAAATTTTCCGTTATTTTTTATCGAAAGTCGGAAAAACAAAGACAATGTGTTGCTGTGCGAGTAGCGCAGGAAACTCTGACCTTATTGATGGAAATAAAATCTAAAAGAAACAGGACTGCTCGTATCAGGTCAAAGGACTGAATGTTGCGACTGTCTTCTAAGGTCTTTGGAGCAGTATTAACATGAAAAAAGTATTT